ACATAATTATTTAAATAATTAAATACTAATATTTTTTAATAGATAGTCCGAGGTATTCAATAAGAGGCATGGCGAGTATTTTGAAGTCGTAAAACTTTTGTCACAATATTTTGTAAACATAAAAACATAGAAAAGTGACGGTGCCTGGTTTTTTGTTTTTGATTTTTTTTTTTTTAAGTGTGTTTTCTTTTTTTTTTGGGGGGGGGGATTGGGATTTTTTTTGTTGACTTTTAAAAAACATAATTAATTAAATAATTAATTTGCTAATATTTTTTTAAATAGATAGTCCAAGGTATTCAATAAGAGGCATGGCGAGTATTTTTAAGTTGTGATTTTTCAGTCTCAATATTTTTGGAAACATAAAAAACATAGAAAAGTGACGGTGCCTGTTTTTTTATTTAATTTTTTTTTTTTGTGTTTTTTTTTACTTTTTTTTTTGTTTGGGGAGGGGGGAAATTGGGTTTTTTTTTGTTACCTTTTTTAAAAACATAATTAATTGAATACGTAATTTAGTAATATTTTTTTAAATAGATAGTCCAAGGTATTTAATAAGAGGCATGGCAAGTATTTTGAAGTTGTAATTTTTTGTCACAATATTTTGTAAACATAAAAACATAGAAAAGAGACGGCTGCCTTTTTTTTTTTTTTATTTTTTTGTGTGTGTGTTTTGTTTTTTTTTTGGGAGGGGGGGAATTGGGGTTTTTTTTTTGTAAACTTTTTAAAAACATAATTAATTAAATAATTAATTTACTAATATTTTTTTAAATAGATAGTCCAAGGTATTCAATAAGCGGCATGGCGAGTATTTTGAAATTGTAATTTTTCGGCACAATATTTTGTAAAGATAAAAACATAGAAAAGTGACGGCTGCTGTTTTTTTGTTGTTTTTTTTAAACATTGTGTGTTTTCTTTTTTTTTTTTTTTGGGGGGGGATTGGGTTTTTTTTGTTAACTTTTTAAAAAAACATAATTAACTAATTACATAATTAATTTACTAATATTTTTTTAAATAGATAGTCCAAGGTATTCAATAAGAGACATGGCGAGTATTTTGAAGTTGTAATTTTTCATCACAATATTTTGTAAACATAAAAAAACATAGAAGAATGACGGCTGCCTGTTTTTTTTTTGTGTGTTTTTTTTTTTTTGTTTTTTGTTTAGGAGGGGATTAGTTTTTTTTTTTACTTTTTTAAAAACATAATTAAACTAACTAACTAAACTAAATTAATTAATTAATTATTTAATTAATTAACTAATTTTTTTTAAATAGATAGTCCAAGGTATTTAATAAGAGGCATGGCGAGTAATTTGAAGTTGTAATTTTTTTGTCACAATATTTTGGAAACATAGAAAATATTATAATAATAATAATAATAATAATAATAATAAAATAATAAAATAAGGGTGCTATATAATAATAATAATAATGAAATAATTTGTGGAGGTGGTGGTATTAAATAATAATATTAGTAATACTACTACTACTACTACTATAGAATAATAATAAATACATTTAGAATTTGGAAGTTAATAAATAATAATAATAGTAATAATGATGAAAATTTGGGGGAGAACTTTGTCATAATAATATAATAATAATGGAGGAAGGTGGGCATATAGTATTAGAATATTATTATTATTATTATTATTATTAATAATAATAATAATAATAATAAAAAAGGAATTGTGGGTAAGTTAAGGGAGTTTAATTTTGATAATAAGTAATAATGATGGAAATAATTGTGGAGGAAGGTGCTAATAAATAATAATAATAAAATAATACAAAAAGGGAGCTATATAATAAAAATAATAATGAAATAATTGTGGAGGAAGGTGGTATTTTAATAATAATTATATAATACTTACTACTACTACTACTACTACTACTATTACTAAAAATTTGAATAATAATAATAATTGATAATAATAATTTAAATTTAAGAAGTGTGTTAATAAATTATAATAATAGTAATAATGATGAAAATTTGGGGATGTTTTTAGAACTTTGTCATAATAATATAATAATAATGGAGGAAGGTGGCATATAGTATTATTATTATTAATAATAATAATAATATATATAATAGTGTTAATAGTAATAATGATTTTTAATTGTGGAAGAAGGTTTAGGTAATTAAATAATAATAATAAAAATAATTGTGTAGGAGGGTGTTTTTATAATAATAATGAAATAATTGTGGAGGAAGGTGGTATTAAATAATTAATATTAGTAATACTAATACTATTGCTTACTACTACTACTAATAATAATAATAAATAAATTTGAAGAAGTGTGTTAAATAAATAATAATAATAGTAATAATGATGAAAATTTGGGGGAGAACTTTGTCATAATAATATAATAATAATGGAGGAAGGTGGCATATAGTATTATTATTATTATTATTATTATTATTAATAATAATAATAATAATAATAATTAAAAAGGAATTGTGAAGGGAGTGTTAATAATAAATAGTAATAATGATGGAAATAATTGTGGAGGAAGGTGCTAATAAATAATAATAATAAAATAATACAAAAAGGGAGCTATATAATAAAAATAATAATGAAATAATTGTGGAGGAAGGTGGTATTAAATAATAATATTAGTAATTTTTACTACTACTACTACTATACTAATTTAATAATAATATAATAAATAAATTTTGAAGAAGTTGTGTTAATAAAATATTAATTAATAGTTAATAATGATGAAAATTTGGGGGAGAACTTTGTCATAATAATATAATAATAATGGAGGAAGGTGGCATTTAGTATTATTATTATTAATAATAATAATAATAATAATAATAATTGTGTTAATAGTAATAATGATGGAAAAAATTGTGGAAGAAGGTGGTAATAAATATTTATAATAATAAAATAATAATTGTGTAAAGTTGGAGGGTGTTATATAATAATAATAATGTTGAAATAATTGTGGAGGAAGGTGGTATTAATTAATAATATTAGTAATACTATACTACTACTACTAATAATAATAATAAATAAATTTTGAAGAAGTGTGTTAATAAATAATAATAATAGTAATTTAATTATTACCCATGAAAATTTGGGGGAGAACTTTGTCATAATAATATAATAATAATGGAGGAAGGTGGCATATAGTATTATTTTTATTATTATTAATAATAATAATAATAATAATAATAATAAAAAAGGAATTGTGAAGGGAGTGTTAATAATAATAGTAATAATGATGGAAATAATTGTGGAGGAAGGTGCTAATAAATAATAATAATAATAATAATAAAATAATACAAAAAGGGAGCTATATAATAAAAATAATAATGAAATAATTGTGGAGGAAGGTGGTATTAAATAATAATATTAGTAATATACTACTACTACTACTACTACTAATAATAATAATAATAATAATAAATTTTTGAAGAAGTGTGTTAATAAATAATAATAATATAGTAATAATGATGAAAATTTGGGGGGGGGAGAACTTTGTCATAATAATATAATAATAATGGAGAAGAAGGTGGCATATAGTATTATTATTATTATAATAATAATAATAATATAATAATAATAATAAAGTGTTAATAGTAATAATGATGGAAATAATTGTGGAAGAAGGTGGTAATAAATAATAATAATAAAATGATTGTGTAGGAGGGTGTTATATAATAATAATAGTGAAATAATTGTGGAGGAAGGTGGTATTAATTAATAATATTAGTAATACTACTACTACTAATAATAAATAAATGTGAAGAAGGGTGTTCATAAATAATAATAATAGTAATAATGATGAAAAATTTGGGGAAGAACTTGGTCATAATAACAATAATAATAATAATAATTCAAAAAAAAGGAATTGTGAAGGGAGTGTTAATAATAAAATAATGATGACGGAGGAAGGTGGTATATAATAATAATAATAATATTTATAACAATGGAATAGTTTTACAGGAAATACTAGACAAGGAATTGGGTCCAGAATAAAGTCAGTTGGTTGCTGAGAATTTGCTTGCTCTGCGTCTGTCCTCCAAAGCGCGACACGTTTGATGCGTGGACGCCAATCTCATGGCGGTGGGGTCGCAGCGTGAGAGCTTAGTGCCGATCTGCGGCTAGGTAAAGCCCAACCACCGGGGGGCCTCTTATCGGCCTCCATAATCCCGGAGATAATATGGAGGCCTTGTGTTTCAGAGAGGATAATGACAACTAATCTCCATTTATCTTCTTAGCAATATTCCTCCTGCAGGACTTCGCGCTCCTCTGACACCATCAGACAGGTGGGTAATCTGCTCGGTGAGAAGATCTGCCGGGAAATCTCGCCAAATCAAATTATGGCGAATGCCCCCCCCCCCCCCCCCCCAGGCTCTTAGCATGGCTGAGGTCGGACTGGTGGCGGGTTGATGACATTGCGAGCCGAGTGGGAGGAAATACGCTTCTAGAAGTGCGTAAAATGAGGAGACAAGAGGAGCCCAATGCTGAGAAATCTCCTGTAAAGCCGATCCCCGTCTAAAAAAATAAATAAAACCAGTACCAGGATCACAGCTGCGGCCATGACCACCCACCTAATACTGAGTAGGTCCCACTTTTGCCGCCAAAACAGCCCTGACCGTCGTGGCGTGGACTCCACTAGACCTCTGAAGGTACGCTGTGGTATCTGGCACCAAGCCATCAGCAGCAGATCCTGTAAGTTGGGAGGCGGGGCCTCCATGGATCGGACTCGTTTTTCCAGCGCATGCCACAGATGATCGATTGGATTGAGAGCTGGAGAATTTGGAGGCCAAGTCAACACTTCAGACTCGTGTTCTTCAAACCATTCTTGAACTCAGACCAGGGCACCTTCTTCCATGGCTCTGTGGTCCAGTTCTGATGCTCACGTGCCCATTGAAGGCCCCTTTGGCTGTGGACACGGGTCAGCATGGACACCCTGACTGGTCTGCGGCCACACAGCCCCATACACAGCAAATTGTGATGCTCTGTGTGTTCTGACACCTTTTTATCAGAACCGGCATTCACTTTTTCAGAAGTTTGAGTTCCAGTAGCTTTTCTATTGGAATGGAATACACAGACCAGCTTTCCCTGCCCACCTCCATCAATGATCCTTCCCTCCCCACCTCCATCAATGAGCCTTCCCTCCCCACCTCCATCAATGATCCTTCCCTCCCCACCTCCATCAATGAGCCTTCCCTCCCCACCTCCATCAATGATTCTTCCCTCCCCACCTCCATCAATGATCCTTCCCTCCCTAACTCCATCAATGAGCCTTCCCTCCCCACCTCCATTAATGAGCCTTCCCTCTCCAACTCCATCAATGAGCCTTCCCTCCCACCTCCATCAATGAGCCTCCCTTCCCCACCTCCATCAATGGGCCTTCCCTCCCCAACTCCATCAATGAGCCTCCCTTTCCCACCTCCATAAATGATTCTTCCATTCCCACCTCCATCAATGAGCCTTCCCTACCCACCTCCATCAATGAGCCTTCCCTCTCCAACTCCATCAATGAGCCTCCCTTCCCCCCCTCCATCAATGGGCCTTCCCTCCCCACCTCCATCAATGATCCTTCCCTCCCCACCTCCATCATTGAGCTTTCCCTCCCCACCTCCATCAATGAGCCTTCCCTACCCACCTCCATCAATGAGCCTTCCCTCTCCAACTCCATCAATGAGCCTCCCTTCCCCTCTCCATCATTGGGCCTTCCCTCCCCACCTCCATCAATGATCTTTCCCCTCCTCACCTCCATCAATGATCCTTCCCTCCCCACCTCCATCAATGAGCCTTTCCACCTCAACTCCATCAATGAGCCTTCCTTCCCCACCTCCATCAATGGGCCTTTCCTCCCCCACGTCCATCAATGAGCCTTCCCTCCCCACCACCATCAATGAGCCTTTCCTCCCCAGCTCCATCAATCAGCCTTCTCTCCCCAGCTCCATCAATGAGCCTTTCCTCCCCAGGTCCATCAATGATCCTTCATTCCCCACTTCCATCAGTGAGCCTTCCCTCCCCAACTCCGTCAATGAGCCTCCCTTCCCCACCTCTATCAATGATCCTTCCCTTCCCCCCTCCCTCTCCGTCATTGAGCCTTTCCTCCCCAACTCCATCAATGAGCCTTCCTTCCCCACCTCCATCAATGGGCCTTTCCTCCCCACATCCATCAATGAGCCTTCCCTCCCCACCTCCATCAGTAAGCCTTCCTCCCCAGCTCCATCAATGAGCCTTCCCTCCCCAACTCCATCAATGAGCATTCCCTCCCCACCTTCATAAATGATTCTTCCCTCCCCACATCCATCAATGATTCTTCCCTTCCCACCTCCATCAATGAGCCTTCCCTCCCCCACCTCCATCAATGGACCTTCTCTCCCCACTTCCATCAATGGGCCTTCCCTCTCCAACTCCATCAATGAGCCTCCCTTCCCCACCTCCATCAATGGGCCTTCCCTCCCCCACTTCCATCAATGAGCCTTCCCTACCCACCTCCATCAATAAGCCTTCCCTCCCCACCCCTCCATCAATGATCATTCCCTCCCCACCTTCCATCAATGAGCCTTCCCTCCCCAACTCTATCAATGAGTCTCCCTTCCCCACCTCCATCAATGGGCCTCCCCTCCCCACCTCCATCAATGGGCCTCCCCTCCCCACCTCCATCAATGAGCCTTCCCTCCCCACCTCCATCAATGAGCCTTCCCTCCCCACCTCCAGCATTGAGCCTCCCTTCCTCACCTCCATCAATGAGCCTTCCCTCCTCACCTCCATCAATGAGCCTTCCCTACCCACCTCCATCAATGAGCCTTCCCTACCCACCTCCATCAATGAGCCTCCCTTTCCCACCTCCATCAATGGGCCTTCCCTTTCCACCTCCATCAATGAGCCTTCCCTCCCCACCTCCATCAATGAGCCTTCCCTCCCAACCTCCATCAATGAGCCTCCCTTCCTCACCTCCATCAATGAGCCTTCCCTCCTCACCTCCATCAATGACCCCCCACCAAACTTCCATCAATGAGCCTTGGCAGCCTATGACCCTATCATCAGTTCTCCAGTTTTCCTTCCTTGACCCACTTTTGGTCAGTCCTGACCACTGCAGACCAGGAATATTCCACAAGAGCTGCAATTTTGGAGTTGCTCCGAGCCGGTCATATAGACATTATAACCCGGTTCTTGTCAAAGTCCCTCAAATCCCTATTATTGCCCATTTTTTCTGCTTTCAAGACATCAACTTCATCGACAAAATGTTCACTTGCTGCCTAATACACCATATTGCCCGCAGTATTGGGCGGTCGGCCTTCCCCGCACATGACCTTTAATGGCCCCCCAGTCTTAGTCCATAGGGTTCAATATTGAGTTGGCCCCGCCCTTTCCACGCACATGACCTTTAATGGCCCCCCAGTCTTAGTCCGTAGGGTTCAATATTGAGTTGGCCCCGCCCTTTCCACGCACATGACCTTTAATGGCCCCCCAGTCTTAGTCTGTAGGGTTCAATATTGAGTTGGCCCCACCCTTTCCACACACATGACCTTTAATGGCCCCCCAGTCTTAGTCCGTAGGGTTCAATATTGAGTTGGCCCCGCCCTTTGCAGCTATAACAGCTTCAACTCTTCTGGGAAGGCCGTCCACAAGGTTTAGGAGGGTGTCTATGGGAAGGTTGGACCATTCTTCCAGAAGCACATTTGTCAGGTCAGGCACTGATGTCGGGGGAGGAGGCCTGGCTCACAGTCTCCGCTCTAATTCATCCCAAAGGTGTTCTATGGGGTTGAGGTCAGGACTCTGTGCAGGACAGTCAAGTTCCTCCACCCCAAACTGGCTCCTCCATGTCTTTATGGACCTTGCTTTGTGCACTGGTGGGCAGTCATGTTGGAACAGGAAGGGGCCATCCCCAAACTCTGCCCACAAAGCTGGGAGCATGAAATTGTCCAAAATGTCGCCTTAAGAGTTCCCTTCACTGGAACTAGGGGGCCAAGCCCAACCCCTGAAAAACACCCCCACACCATAATCCCCCCTCCACCAAACTTTACACTTGGCACAATGCAGTCAGGCAAGTACCGTTCTCCTGGCAACCGCCAAACCCAGACACGTCCATTGCCAGATTGCCAGACAGAGAAGTGTGATTGGTCACTCCAGAGAGCACGCCTCCAATGCTCTAGAGTCCAGTGGCGGCGTGCTTTACACCACGGCATCCGACACTTTGCACTTGGTGATGGAAGGCTTGGATGCAGCTGCTCGGCCATGGAAACCCATTCCATGAAGCTCTCTACGCACTGTTGTTGGGCTCATCTGAAGGCCACACCAAGTTTGGAGGTCTTTAGCTATTGACTCTGCAGACAGTTGGTGACTTCTGCGCACTGTGCGCTTCAGCATGCGCTGACCCCGCCCTGTCATGTGACGTGGCCTACCACTTGGTGGCTGAGTGGCTGTTGTTCCCAGTTGCTTCCACTTTGTTATAATCCCACTAACAGTTGAGCGTGGAATATTTAGTAGCCAGGAAATGTCACGGATGGACTTATTGCCCAGGTGGCCACCTATCACGGGACCACGCTTGGAGTCACTGAGCTCCTTAGAGGCCCCCATGCCTGCTATGGCCCCCATGCCTGGTATAGCCCCCATGTCATAGCATATGATGGCAGTCTAGACAGACTGGTGGATGGAGACCCTCACCGGTTTGCTAAAGCACTATGTTTTTGTTAGAAAATACCCATTTTTGCTTCTCTCTTTTCATCCTCAGTGAATATATAAACGGGGCGTAGTTATAGATATACATAAACAAAGCCATGAAAACAAGGTGCAAACACACCGCAACCATGAAGAAGAAAGGTCTCTAGGGTTGGTGAGATATGGCCATAAAGTCCTCACAGTTGATGGTGCTCAAGGAGATGTGATAATGGACAAGGAGACCTTCACCTTCAAACCCCATAGACAGCCTCTTCCCCAGGCGCGGACTGACCATTTGGAAACTCGGACACTGGCCGAGGGCCCGGGGTCAGTAAGGGGCCCCATGAGATGCTCCTGGTACCTTTTTCATAGGCTTTTTTGAGTTTGGGCAAGGACACAGGGGCCCCATGATCCCCTATTGCCCGGGGGGCCCATGAATTGTCAGTCCGCCCCTGCTCTTCCCATAAAGATTTGACCACCCGGAGAAAGGGACGGTCAAAATAGCGCAGTTGAACGCCAACTCCAGAGACGGGTCATCTCCCAACTTCACCCGTTTGCACCCAATGTCTCAGACTCAATGATTCATCCAATCCGGTGGTCAAAAAGAACTCTCAAGAGATGGTAATCAAAGAGTAGGAGGGGCGTCCCTAGGGTTGGTGTCACCCGGTGCGGTAACGCTTGGTGACACACCACCCCCTCCAACGATCCCCGCAGGATGGATCGGATCTGCGGATTGAGCATAATGGATCAAAGACTGATCCATTACGCTCCCCGATCCGCAGATCCGATCCATCCTGCGGGGATCGTCGGCATGCAACCTATACGGGGTGACACCGGACCCGCTCCACGAAAAGGTGAGTTTTAAAGCAAGCCGATGATCCCCGCAGGATGGATCGGATCTGCGTATTGGGGAGCATAATGGATTGGAGTCCGATCCATAATGCTCAATCTGCAGATCCGATCCATCCTGTGGGGATCGTCGGCTTGCTTTAAAACTCACCTTTTCGTGGAGCGGGTCCGGAGTCACCCCGTGAGATAGGTATCACCTGGTGTGGCACGTACCCCTCGCACCTGCCTAGGGATGCCACTGGTGACAACATGGGAGCAAATTGCAAGACAAGGATGGAGCGTTGTCACTCTATAACAGGAAATGCCTGAACAATTCCTGTTGAAGTGATTGGAAACCCTCACCTTAATAGAAACGAAAGGCAAAACATTTGTGCATAGATATTGAAAAAAAAAAAAATTTGTACACCTTGTTTCCTTTTTTTTTTAGTAAGTGATCACATACTCTCTGTTCACAGCAGCAATAAGAGCTGGGGGAGGAGAAATAGTAGCACACTGGTCTTCTCAGTGAAGGTCTGTGCAGGGGGTGGTGTGTCAGCAGAAGTCTGATCATTGGAGGACAGGCAGGCTGAGTTGCTAGCACGGCTAGAGAACTGACCAAGCTGTGCTCTCCTGCCTAGTGTGGTCAGTTTTTAATAGGAAAGCAGAAGGACTGGTGGGAACACCATGGAAGGGAAACAAGTGACAGGGGTGGGGACCTGGCCAGGTCCGGTGGTGGCTGCGCGCTCCTGGTGGGTGCGGGGATGGCCGGCTGCATCATTCATTGCTTATCTAAAGGTTAGTTGGGTGCAGGGGCGGACTGACCATTCCAGCATTCGGGCACTGCCCGGGGGCCCGGGGTCAGTAAGGGGCCCCATAAAATGCCTCTGGTACCTTTTATAGTATTTTTTTGGGTGTGTTTCGAGTGTTTCGGACTGACCATTCGAGCATTCGGGCACTGCCCGAGGGCCCGGGGTCAGTAGGGGGCCCCATAAAATGCCTCTGGTACCTTTTATAGGCTTTTTTGGGTGTGTTTCGAGTGTGGGCAAGGACACAGGGGCCACATGATCCCCAATTGTCCGGGGGCCCCATGAGTTGTCAGTCCGCCCCTGGTTGGGTGGATCTGGTGGTTGCGGTGGGGGGGGAGGATTGTGGAAATGGGCTGTGGTGTCCGTAGCGGAGAGGAACAGTGCTGGGGGGTGGGGCCCTGGGGGTGGGGTGGTGGTGCTGGTGGGGTGGGGGGTAACTGATGTTAGTGTTGCCTTCAGCACATGAACTAAATACACCA